AAAAAAAAAGAGAGAGAAGGAGTGGTTGCGGCTGCAAAACGAAAGTCGGGAGAGAGAGACAGTTTGGTGGCTGTGTTGAAGAAAGAATATAAGAAAAAGACGAAGACAGGTGAGTGGGCTAGTAATTTGTAGCTAGTTTACATTAGCTATTATAGTGGTAGTTGAATACAACAAATCGTTTTATATTGATATATATATACATAGTGTATGCTCAGAATATGTATTTTATGTGGTCCTGATGGAGTTTACATGTCAAGGACTACTGTGTATTCATATGATAGGATTGAGGTAATTATTGAAATAGTAATTTGTTTTGTTGGTCTGTGACTCATTTACTAGGTTAGGTTGTACTCTTGTGAATTGAATCAGACTACATATATTAGATATTAGATTTAGTCAAAACTTTTGAGCATGGAATCAGGTTACATAGTGACATGTATGATTAAGACATGAGTTATAATTGTTGAATTCGTTTTACTGCTCTTTGACACTTAAAAAAAAAACAATGTTATACTTGCATGGTCGCATATATAGATATTAACTCATCTTTTGTATATTTATCCACCGCTGCTTTGATCAAAGTCTGGTGGTACTGATAGTATTAAATTTCGATATTTTGATACAGTTACTTTAATATCTTAAAATTTATTTATGTTAGTATTCTGGTTGGAATTAAATTTGAATTTTTTTTTATATAAGTTGAACTTGAGCAATAATGATTAGTGGAATCTATATTAGAAATTAACTAATATGTAATATAATGGGTGAACGAAATTTTGAAATGTGGAATGCCTTGGAACAACTTTAATACGATGGATGGTATATTTTATGCGGATAATAGAAAATGGAGTTGGCAAAGAAATTTTAGAAATGAAATTTCATGTGTTTAATTTATTGAAGCTTGATGCTCATTGTTTGGTTAGTTAATTAGTTTTGATAGTTGCCCAAGCGTTAGTACATTTGCTGCACCTCTGGAATTAAGTAGAGATAAGTAGGAAGTCACCCTAGACGGCATAGCCTGCGGGTAGACACATAGAATGATTTTTGGGTATTCCTAGACGGCCTAGCCTGCGGAATTGACCCTACAGACCTTCATGGCCTTCGGGGTTGGTCTGGGCGCCACATAGTAAAGCTCAAGGGAGCTATTAGGAGTCATGTAATTAGGCGTACGGGAGGCTAGCCAGAGCTTGCAGATGATCACCCATTTGGGTTTTGGTTTCCTCGTAGCGGTTCCTAACCATGACCAGGCACACTGGTGATGTGTGGTGATGGCAAATGTGTGGAGTGCATCCTGTGGGAGGTGTACTAATGATTGGGTATAGGTTGTGGATTTCTGAGACTTGTAAATGTTTTTGTTTGGTTAACAAGAATAGTTGGTGTTATAATGTGCAATATTGGAGATGCCTTGAAATATATGCATATTGTTATTGTACTAATTCTGTTTTGCAGGAGGATATGTCAATTAACATTTCTTGCAGGGCGAGACCTATCCTTACAGGAGGTGCAGTTCCAGGTAAGGTATTTTTATTTACAGTTAAAATTGTTTTAGTTAAGTATAAGAGAACCGCGGAGTTCTGTGTTTTTATTTGTTTTTGGGAATAGAGTTCCCTACCTTGTCTGCTCATACCAGCATTCTTTATGTTGACCCATGTTGCTTGTTTTGCACGTGGGTACGTATCCTTATGGAGCGTAGGCGGAGGAGAGCATCGTGTTGATATAGCTAGAGAGCAGCACCAGGAGGCTCGTGTGGAACCGGAAGTTCGTGAAGCTTGATCATCTCAGTAGGTCTTAG